TGATAGATCGGGATGCAGTGGATGAAGAGGGTCATCTAGAATCTTATTGGAAAATTTAACACCGGAGTTGATGTGACCAATAATGAGTTCTGTGATTAATGAATCGATCGGGATTAAGGATGCACGACTGATGCTCATCAAACCACGGCGAATTATTTTAAAGTTTTGTTTTAAAAGACGGGGAAACACTACAAGGGGGCGCTAGAATAGAATGGGTAAAACACATTGGTGAACGAAGGAGGACAGGACTGCCTGTGGGGTTCCGAATTGCCTGAATTTCCGCAACTGAAAAGACGGGCGTCTCAGTTTTCCCATACAATTGTAGATGTGTGGGCCAATGGAGGTTGCACGTAGACATGTTAAGACCGAGACCAGATTGAATAAATCTGTTGGATGTGGGAAAGATTTCCAGTAAGGAATGAGGTTCCGAAGGAGATGAAACAGTCTGACATAAAACGACGTCATCGGCATACTTATGGATGTGCTCAAGGAATGGGACCGAACAATCACGTATAAAGGCAGAAAAAAATATGGAGATGGAAGAACACCAGAATTACTAACAAGAGGTTTTGATGTCCTCCTTCCTAATTTAGTGTCTCAGTGTCGTAAACAGTGGCTTTTGTGCATCTTATTAATTTCTCTGCAACATTATTCTACCGAAATTCTAAATTTTCTCTGTGATCGTACTTTCAACCTTTCCTGTCTTTCTCCTAATATTCATCCAAATGGGCAGCCAAAGGACGGTGACCAAAACCGACGCACGATAGTGCATGGTTAATGGTTGTAAGAACGGAACTGAACTAAACTAGTGCACTGGACTCTCTTTGTGAAATAGTGTAAAAGCCATAAAATCAACTGTCTCGAAGTTCCAAGAGACATAAGTTTGAAAAGAAGAGATGACCGATAAACAAAATCAAACGTGGACGAATAATCAGGAGAAACAATGGATAAGCTTGATCGAGTTGGTCAACTACCTATTGATAAAATGCATTGGAGTGAATGTGGCGTCCAGCGTAGATCTATCGGGTTTAAATGCAAACTGAAGGTTGTTGCAAGGGGTTGTGGTGGTTGATTGCAAGCGACTCAGACTGCCCTTTTCAGTCAAGTTTAGAACCGCTGGTGTCAGCGCGATACGACGAAACCGTTTCTCAATAACAGTTAAGGACTAGGATTTGGGGATAGGAATAATATTAACTTAACGCCAGGACTCTGAAATCGATCTGGAAGGTAGAGAAGATAAGGCAAACTTTTCCTGACTCATTCAATTGCAAAATCGTCTTGGTAAAGGTCGCCCACGTTAACCGGATCATCGTCTTAATTTCACCCGTGCTGAAATCGCTGTTTTCACAATTACAATTTTTCGATGCACCGAACGTCGTTCGGATCTGAATATCAAGATAGGGACTCATTCACGACGGTTGTCATGATATTGGCTAGGGAAGCTACCCCGAATTTCAGAAGTACCGGAGGGAGATCATCAAGGCCTGCAGCTGACTTTGTTTTGCCGGACCGAAGATGCTTAAATATTTCGTCATTGGAAAACGGCCATGAATGGGGATGAGGGAATATGGCTCTCATTTGACGTTTGAATGAAGTCGGCGCTAAGGTTGTTGACGTTCACAAGGGTATTATAGTGTTTTCTGTTCTGTCGACAGAGAAAGCGAATACCTTGCCATAAAAGTAAGGTGTTCTTCACAGTTTTAGGCGGCGGAGTGAATTGAATACGTTATCTCAGACCTGATTAACTCAGAATAGTGCTTTACAGCTGATGCATGGCGAGATTTGTAGCCCTTTTCCTTGTGCCTTCTCAGTGATTTCAAAAAGAGGTAATTCTACCGTTACTGGGAAACGAGGTTTTCTTGGGACAACACAAGTTAAAGATAGGTTTAATCGTTTCAGTGAACAGACTGACACTGTCGTGCGCGGGTTTTGCTTGCTGTCTTTTGGTTGCTCATTTGGACTAATGTTGCAAACAAATTGAGGAAATTTACAAACGCCACTGTTTACGACACAGTCATATCACTCACTGTCTCTAACCCAGCCAACGGAGATAAAGCATTTGACTGCGGACACTTGTACGCACAAGCGTTTAGTTCATACTCGCTACCTGCCATGGTCTACTTCCACTCAACCACGCACCCCTACACCACCTGAAGTCATTGCTGATTATGATGAGAATCGAGTAATGAGACGTTATCTCGCACCTCACACACGAACCAATAATTACTTTCTTAACTTATCTCTCTATAACCCGTGGCTTTCACTTCTCATAAACAATACAGACAGATGTGGAAACGTCAGAACATCTGCTAGCCTTATTTTGTGTCAGTCGAATAGATTGTATACTGTTCGGTGACGTGCATTTTCTTTTCCCGTCCCTCAAACAAACCCACTGTCTGTTGATTTAGTATATTCGTGTTTGCTTGGTACATAATATGGCTCATTAGGAAGCAACAGAGTTTGCGGTAGGATGATACACTATCTATTGCCTGTGACAGAAAGTTTCCACTTAGGTGAGGGTTAATTTACTCATGTCTATTCTTTTTGGGGAACAGGGAGTGGTTATGTTCACTTACTACTTTTCGTGGCACACTGAAGCAAACTTTTCTACCTCATTCAATCCTACTGGCTGTACTTCGAAATCAAGTGAACTGTGATGTTCACCTATCCACTAACAGGTTTCTCCAATCCACAACCCTTATTCGAGCGGAGGAGCGCACCGTAACAGTCTTCATTTTCACAGTTGGCATCGACATGTGATCCATTTTTTACTCTTTCTCGTTATCCATTCCAGCTCATCCTTGACTTATTCCATTCGGTGGATTCTGGTTATTGGAGCTATCTAGGCCCAGACTGGCGCGTGTGTTCCGACCGGCGCCAAATTGAATTCGCGATTGCTATCCCTGTCAAATGCTCAACGGTGAAAAAGCCCTTATGGAGGATAGAGGTACGTAATTGAAGTAACCACATTTTGTTTTATTCATCTTGCAAAAAATGTATTGGTCCTCTATTTGTACGTTTATTTCAACTGGTCTCCGTGATTTTTTCTCGGTCTGTCTATGATCCGTTCATTTACAACCAGTTTGGTCAACGGATTTCATTGATTCAGATTCAGTAGGATGTGTATACGATTTTGTGATTGTTTGAGTCTCGACCGATACAACTAAGATGCGATCTACTTTCTGGTTTCTAACTCTCGTAATGGCCAAAGCATAGGCTCCTCGCGTTCTAGTTGGATGTACCTTTTCGTATAAATTCCTCGATTGAGCACCCGGTGCTTTTTCATTCAACTGCCTTTTCGCCAGTGGTGGTAACAGCTTCACGCATTTTATGATTGTTGTTATGGCCCACATATGGCACTTGGACTTTAAGTCGAATTCGACTGTAAGTAAGTGGGTACTTGATGAAATACTTTGAGAACGTATCGGAAAAGGACAAAATACTGGAGGAAATTGCCTTAATTTAACGGATAACTGATTACGGGTGGCATTTGCGTTTCTTCTCACTATTTATTGCCTTCTTAAACTTTCTTATGATTTTGATTTCCCAGCATCGATCTGTGTTTGTTACGCGAATGGCCGTCCGTGAAGTTTCGGTCGACCTTAATATGGCTGACTTTCCAGCATTATGCCGGATAAACGTAATTCTGAATCCAGAATGTTGGTTGTCTGCCAAGTTTCGATAACCGCAATAATGCCCCACTCACCTGTTTGCTGGAGCCGAATCTCGTCGGGATTAGTTGAGCTAATTGTATAGTGGTTAGCTAGGGAAAGTTTTTATGGGAGGAGTATTTTGAGTCTAGTTTACCAGTTGCGGGGAAGAACAGGTCTGCGGGAATCCAGCGTGTGTGAAAGCAATACTTTTTCCAGAGAACCACTTTTCGGTCCTGGGTTGCGCATGGGTCTCAAGCGTAGATCTGGTGGTCCTTTGTTCTTGTTATCGTACTACGACTATAAGACAACCGTTGCCATTTCTGGTCTTCCCAGAGTTGTTTTCATTAATAATAGGCCGTTTCCGCGCTAGTCGTGAAAACGGGAGTTCTAACGACATCCAGTGAAATCTTGATTGACCGTCACGCTTTCCAGTCGTTTCCTTGGCATTCTGTTGAATCTCAATCATTCATTTGCGGGACTCCATGCAATATAATCACCCAGGTGTTGTCTGTGTTCCGTACACCATTAGGGTTATTCCGCTGATGCATGGTATGCCTGGTAGAATTCTTGTTTTATTTGATGTTCTTCGAAGGTGAAAGTGAGATCGAAGAACGTTTTTACATCTGATTCGTCCCTCAATGTCTCCGGTATGAAGGGAATCCGGCTTTCGCCGAAGACGTGTGAGACTGACAGGTTGGGCGATAATCCCATTTTCTTATAACACATGATGTGAGTTACAATAAAAGGGAAAATCCCCGTAGAAAAATAGCATCCTGTAAAATGGAGAGTAAGGGAACATTCACGTAAGATCCTGTGTATTGATTCTGCGTTGAAAGAATGTAACGTTGTAAGTTGAGCGAAAGACAAAGTGGGAGGGTGTTCCACAACTTGGCACTTTAGGGAAAACGAAGATTGGAGCAGAGAAATACATCTAGGAACTGAAATTTGATCACGATGACTAGATGCCTGTGTACGAAATGAGCTGGTAAGAGCGGCAGGAACTGCCGAGGAAAATTCCGATGAACAAAAACCAAAGTGTTAACGGTAGAGCAGTGATAATGAAGCAACTGCCTGACGATGGGCTACTGACTGCACACTGGATGTTATGGACGGATAATGGATTAACCGGATGACCCTTCGTTAAGCACGATCAAGAAGAGAAAGAGGTGGAAGCCCCCACCCCGCATGTGACTGCAACATTCAAGTACAGGGTGGATTTGAGCTTTGCAGAGTAGAATGAAGTGAATTGGNGTGAATTGGGGTGAAATAAAACAAAACCTTTCGCGCAGCACGAGAGGCAACATGAGACCAACATGAAGTAGAAGTTATGGTCAGTCCAAGAAGGGAAATCGAGTCTGTGGAGCGCCGTTAGGCGGAACCAAGAGATGACTTGGAAATAATGAATGGAATTTTTAGGAAATTGAAAGGTAGGTTTTAGAACCAGTGAATGAAACGTGGTTTGCATTGTCCCAGAAGGTGTTCACGATCGGAGTACTGTGACTCATTAACTGCACTACGGCCACGACCGATGTTGGTTTGGGTATGGCGAGTAGTGCGGTAGGAGAGGGATCAGTGATGGGTGACATCATCGACAGTTTTCGAAAGGAGATTATTGATAAATAGAAGAAAAAGGGTGGGCGCAAATACTGAACCTTGGGGAACACCAACATTCGCATGGTTCGACTGAGATAGAACCCCATAAACTCCGACGGAGATGATTCGCCTACCGAGACAATTAATATCTACGCTACGAGCGCAGGGGAGAACTCGAACATGGGTGGTTTCGCCAGTTGATCTTCGTGTCAAACTCGGTCGAAAGGTCTTTGAGATGTCAAGTGAGACCAAGTGTGTTTCTCTGTGGTTATCGAATGAAGCTGACCAGGATTGTGAAACAAGAGCTAACAGGTCACCGGTGTAGCGACATTCAGTAGCCCTTCCCGTCCGAGGAACGTGCGTGGCGGGTTAGAGATGATAGTCTCCTATACTTTCGGAAGAAGAGATATGAGCGAAATGGGTTTGTGATTGTTGGGATAAGAAAACTCACCGCGTTTGTGAATGGGAAAAATCACGGTGTTTCCAATGTTTTGGAAAAGATGGAAGTTGGAGGGTAAGACTAAATAGACGAAGTAAAATAAGAGAGCTCGGGAGCACACATTTTGAGGACGATGAGTAGAATACCGACCGGACCGGGTGGTTTCTTTGCGCAGAGAGAGCGCAATGTTCGACAGTTTTTCTTAGCTAATGAAGGGTTGCCAGTGAAGAAGGAAGGCGTAGGTATAGGATAGTTGGGTAAAGTAAAGTTGGCGGCAAATTGGCATACAAAATCACCAGAGGAATTATAGATAGGAGGGAAGTTGGAAGGGTAGAAATTACGGAAATTGCTTTGCTAAGGAATCATAGTGTTCGGCTACCGGTGGCGGACGAGACCCATTTTCGGCTGTACAGCGAACGAAGTGTTCTTTTGTTCTCTGAATGGCTTCCGGGGGTCTATTCCTAGCTTCCACGAAGCGATAGTGCGAGTCGGGATTGAGCGAGCAGCGCCAGAGCGTTTTAGGCTTACAGCTCGGTCACATGCATGGTTAAAACACTCGGGGGATCTGAGTTTGCCGGGTTTGGAAAACCGCGGAATAAAACGATGCGTACCTTGAAGAATAACGTCGATAAAGTTGGAAATGTCACATGAGAAATAACAATCGTTCCAAGGATAAGACGCTAGGAAATCACGGAAACCGTCCCAATTGGTTCACCAGAATGTCTCGAGGTGGCTGGCGGATCAGGTCTGGTAAACCTAATGGAGCAAGAAACACTGCAGTGATCCGACGAGCCGAGCGAGGAGGACGGAAAAATTGTAAGAAGATAGAAAGGACCGAAGTGAGCATTAGATCAAGAGTGTGGGGAGGTTGACTAGTTGGCTCAGGTCGTTAAACAAAGCAAAGTGTTTGGCTTCGCGCCCCTAAGGCGAAATAGCAGATGTGTCAACCAATTCTGAATACGAACGTTAAAATCTCCCAGTATGGCAATGTGGCACTTGGTTTCGGTTGCAAGAGATTGTTCCAAGTTCGAAGGTAAAAAATCAAACACAGTCGCCACTGTTAGCGGGACGATATAGAACACAAGTAATAACTGAAGGAGGGAAGTCGGAGCTTCAGCCATATGAGCTGAAATTCACGGTTGAAAAAGTCGATTTGGAATCCTGGAGGCGGCGATGAATTGGTGAATAAAGTCGCAGACACCAGTCTTGGGTAGGAAGGAACAATAGAAAGATTAGTTGGGTACTTGAGAGTGGGGGGTTTCTGACAAGGGGAAAGATTTGTTTCAGTCAAAAATGGAGGAGAGTAGGGAAATGGGGAAATTGGCGACAGAGCGTGAGCTTATGTCATATGATGCTGTCATATTTATATTGTGAAAAGAAAATCGCAACCATGATCCTGAAACTTGTGGTGACGGACCACATAAAGCTTCAATAGATCAGGCTTGGCAGTGAGTCGGGCGATGGCAGAGCCGCTTACCACCATTTGCACACAACGCATCTCAGCTCTTCGTCCTGCCTATCGCTCATTGACAACGCTGTGGGTTCGCAAATGCATGTACAATTCACATTCCAAGTGGTTTGTCACAACTTCCTTCTTTGCAGGCGTAGTTTTTTTCGTTGTAGAGACAGACAGAAGGTAACAAAGTGTATGCGTGCGCCAAACTAGCAAGTGCATCCGCTATTGCCTCTGTCGTATTCGTCCGTTGCCATGGGGACCATGCACGCTGAGTATTCCGGTCATATTTTCGGTTTACGGGTCGGGCTTACTGGTATGATCTGAGTTTTTTATAACCATTCATCGTGCATTTTGGGCGCCGGTTTTGGTTGCTGATTATGGTGCCCATTTGGACAAGAGCGCAGAATGAAGATTAGACAGTTGAGAGCCAATTCCAGTGGAAATGGACAATTCATACAAACTGCGGTTGCAAAAATATTGAGTAGGTGCATGAGCACCTCTGTTCGCGACACAGCCATATTCTCGTACAGCTTCATATTGACTGGGGTTGGAACACCCAGCATAACAAACAATGTCTCTAACCACCGGTTACCATGATCTCGAGGTAACCATCCCGAGAGCCTTATGGGACTTATATGACCGAGTCTCCTGGTTAGGGTTTTCATACCCTTATGCTAGGTCTTAGTTTGACCGCCCTTGACCGTTTTCCATCCGCTGCCTGCCTCGGAAGACTTCACTCGCCTATTGGACTTGGGCAACAAGTGTCCCAGTCAGCATAATCTTTGGTGATCGACCAATTGCTGCAGTATACGACCGCGAATACCTAAAACTCTACGCCTAACGTCAGGAATGCTCGTTCGGTTTTACCGTCAGACTCGTGCAAAGTAGCGTAGACAGCGGTTTTCAAACATAGACAATCTATTTTTATTCTGTTCCCGTAAAGACCAAGTCTCTGCACCTCAAAGCAGCGCTGGCCGAACTGCTGCAGGATACACTCGACTCATCAAAGTTTACCCTTTTGTCGCGACGGCGCCACGGATGTCCCAAGTTACCTAATATCAACCGAGTCCTTTGTATGCGTGCCAACACTTCATCTGTGACGCGTAGGTCAGATTAGATATAGCTCTCCAAATAACAAAATTTGTCCACTTCCTCTACTATTTCCGAAGTCGGAGTGAGGTTGGGTGCTGGACCCCCCCCCATTTCTATAGCAACATTTTGAAAGTGCAAAACGCATACCGAGCTTGGCTACGCTGTAACTCAAACTGTTCAAAGAAATTTGTAACTTACCTGCATCTTAGTAACACAATTTCGTCCGCATACTCTACTATCTGCCATTTAGAAGCAAATCAACATCACTATCCTCGCACGAGGATATGATTGTTCCATAACCAAATCAATAAAATGGTTGAATAGAATAGGAGAGATATGGCAACTATGACGAACACCACTTTCCGTGGTGACCTCTGGTGAAAAGCACTATGAACTGGGACTCGGCTTCCGTTTTTAGTACAGACGGCTGATGGTTGAGCTGAAAGGCAATCTCATAGTTCCGCTTCGAAGGCCGATTTGCAATTATCGCTGTCGTAATATTGTGAGCATCCGTTTCCAGTGTACTTTCTGTGATTGTTTAGCAGACGTATGGAGAATCTGGCTCGTGGTAGAGGAGGGCCCGCGTCAGCGGTTGTTAACCAGTGAGAACGGCAGTCTTGAATCGACCCCTTCCAGCGGTGGCTGATGGCGGTGTGGTCGATTTGTGTGCAGCGCTTTGAAGAGGTTGGTGGTTTCCATGTAATGCGGTGTTGTTTCTTAAGCTTTGTGCTTTATAGGTACTGTCTGTGGTCTGTAGGCGTTCTCCGTTGTCAGTCCGGTTGGCTAGGATTGCACGTGGTCCGCCAAGCCTTTCTGATTCGTCCAGGTATCATGTTGAAATAATATTCGGATAACTTGAAATTGCAAAAGGTATAGATCTCCCAAACTTCTTTTCCGTTGCAGTGGCATTTTCAAGACCGTTTTGGTTGATTTCATTGCGTGCAAGCATTTTAATTCATGTGAGAGATTTATCAGCCATATGCTGTCAAATCAGAAATGCCTATTTCAGCAAATCTGTCTCATCCGAGTAGGCGTTCCGGCTTTAGGATAATTCGTGCTTTCACCGCCACATACCAAAAGAGCATCATCGCTTATTTTCACTCGCATTTTAGTAAACCGTACAACTAGCATTACTCACTTCGGAAACCACCTGTCCCCTTAGCTTTTTATCACATTCCAATTTTTTTGATTCAGTAAATGTTCATTTTTTTCAATGTTTTACTTTCGCTTCACCATAACTTGTCGAAAGTGCTGAAATTTCATCTTATTGGGAGCATAAAGCGTAACCTTTTCTGAAGCTTCTGTTAGTTTTGACCGATAATTTGATGTTTCATCTCTATAGCCTTTCAAAAATCCTTGACCTATCACACTGCCTCTAAAGTGGATAGAATACTGTCAAGGGGCAGAAAATTTTCCACTGAAGGCGGTAGGGATTCTATATCGGTCTGGTCAAATGATATGATCAGACCCAGCAGTCGTTATTTTCAATGCATCTTTCTCACTGTTGGGTAGTTGAACTCATCCGTCTTGATTTTTTTCTTGTTTTGGGGCAGACTTGCGTGAGGCCTTCATCTTGTTTGATGTGAACAGGGACGGACGAATAACCGCCTCAGAACTGCACGCCGTCTTAGGCTTCCTTGGCATACAAACCACACAGGCAGAAGTATGCCAGATGATCAAAGATGCGGATTGTGATGGTAAGATTTCACTTCTTGCCATTGATCTTTTTCATGATATATTTATTGCTGGAAAACTTATATCGACAAAAATCGATAGGATCTGGAAGTATTTGCCGTTTTGTAGTGGAAATCAGCAACCTTATTTCTCAATAGGCTTGGTCATGCACGCGAGTGTAATAGTGGCATAATACTGCACTGGGAAATAGCAAGTTGCACAAATACCATGGTATAATAGACTAGTTGTGGTAGCCTCTTCTCATAATCGTGCTAAATCACATAAGGTGAACTTAATACTTCCTAGGTTTTCGGAAAACGTTGAAAACGTTTGAATTTGTTCGCATTGATGAAGAAGGAGTGAAACCTTCATGCTGAATTGAATGTAGATGACAGGAAATAATTCATTTTTTTGAAGCAACAATTGAGCAGATGCTGTCTGCTATGATGTGGTGACTGTCCCTCCCGTCATATTTCTTGCCGGTCGGAGGTACAATTCTGTCCACCTTTTGTTTTTTGCACAGATAGGTTTGTATTCGATTTGTCTGAATGTTTGCATTGCTCTCCTTGAGATGTTTTCTGCCTCACCCGGAAACGTGGACGGAAAAATCTTTCTTGTTTTCCCAACGGACATTGATCTTTTTCCCCTGTTGTTCTATTTTGTGTGTGCGTGTTTGTTTGCTTATCAGCTTGTCTTTGTGCACAATTTGCCATGCATAAATCTTTTCCAATGGCTCTCCTCTGTTCCAAATAAATGGACGTTCAATGATACTAACAAGCATACACGCATACATGGTCTTCTTAGTCGACGACGGTTCGAAAGGGCGTTTAACTTTTTTTTAGTTTTTTTTTTCGTTTATCCGTGCGAACAAGGTAGTGTGCAGGCTGTTGTATTGAGGCCTTAACTCCGATCCCGATCACCAGTGGCTGTATGACTAATGCCGTTTTCGCTCAGTAACTTCTGGCTGTACCCAGATATCAATAGTAAACAACCTGTTTGAGGTTAGTTTTAGAATTCGTTTCAACTGAAATTCCCGGAATCTGGGTACTTGTGTGGACCGAGAGAGAGTCAAACGTATGCTCATTCTTCAGAATATACTAAACTCACGACTGTGCTGTTACGATCGAGGAGAGACGTTAACACGCGCGACACTGGAACAGACGAACTGCACAAGGCTCAACTATGGTTGGTTTGACATTAATCGCATGCACATGTTTTTGCATCTCACGGATAGGGGGTGGGTGAGCACACGGGAAGATGTTGGTTGTCAGAATAGATGAAATTCGTTTACGAGTGAGCGAAATAGGAGATAATCGACCATCAGCGAGTTATGCTCTCAGTAGAGCAGTGATTTAAAGTCACTATTTAAGAACCCTCATCCGATATAGGATGTAAAAAGGAGAAATGAATGAAGGCTAGGGTTTTGGAGGCAGCAGCTATTTCTTCGGAATGAAACAGGTCAGATAATAACGACGGTTTCGGAGTAATAAATTGATCACCTATTTGAAGTCTGGTAACGAGTAAAGGTCATTTTGATGTAATATGTCAATATACTGTGGCATATAGTGGTCAACAGAGGGGAGAATCGATGAAGAAGATTCTCATAACTGGTAGCTGTAATCAAGTATTGGAGTGGGGACTTGGACTTTATATAGACCATAAATACCTAAGGGAACTGTATTGGTTGCGCTGCATGGAAGACATCTGCAATACTTCAAGATGACGATCAAAGCGACGGAACTGAGAGCGGTTCCTTCCGGTTTTGGGTAAGTCTGGGACGTATGAATGACACGCGAATACAAACCGTGGCGGTTCTCTTCACTGGAAGATTATCTTGGAGTGGGCTATGCACTATGCAACCCTGCTTGTTTTGCCTGATTTTGTCACTGTCTTATTTGAACCGATAGTAGTGATTCATCTGGAGGTTGGTTTCACTTTTGTTAACAACTTTTTAGTTTAGTTAACCCAAAGATATACTGAATTATGTTTTCGCGAACGAAACACTACCTATCCTCGAAACTCCTGTTCAACTTCTTGTTCACACACAAAANATGAATTTGATCCCATATTTTGGCCTGTAAGTCGGTTGCACCCTCGTACACATGTTTAACATTTCAGTAACTCTCTGGTCATACAGTTTATCTTACAGCAATAAGAAATTGCATAATGGAAATCATGACTACTTTGATTTCCACTCTTTTCCCCACCTCGTTTCATGTTTGATTGTTTTCAAAGCGTGTGGATCAGTAGGGAAAGATCATGTGCACAAAAAACTACATCTTCCATCTGTCTGCTGGTGAATACGATGATGCTGTTGTCTGTTTCTCTTCGGAGCTGTCATCTTCATTCTTCATTCCGTCTCTTCCCTGCGTATGTGCCACTTAACAGGTAACGGGACTGTTGAGTTTGACGAATTCCTACGAATGATGCGTAGATACGCACAGAGTCAACGGTCCAAGTCCCCGGATGCCGAACTACGTGAGGCATTTAATGTAAGTAACCTGCGTTCAGATTTCGCGAAATTGTTGATACAACTCACATTTTCTCCTAACTCTTACTCTTTCACTGTACCTTTTCAAATTCAAGTGAATCCGCCGTAACTTCTGTTGAATCCGTTGTAATTGCAAGTGAGTTCAAACAATCGCATTCCACTGGGAACCCCATAAGATGAATAATGATTCGACCGTAACGTCACCCATCAGATCAGGTCTATCAAAACCCCGTCCGTTCGGGGTGAACCGATTTCTCCGTAGACAAACAAAAGTACTTTTGGGGTGAGTTACCGTGTGAGGATGAAAGTTTTCTTGAGATGGGGTGGGGGTTGGCTGTTCTCCCCCCACAACCCTCCAGGAATGTCATGCCCTTAAAAGGTGATCGAGTGAGCTTCAGACGAGGATGATCGAACCCGGCGTTAATTGACCTAGGTCTGTCGGCTAAGGAAGCGAATCATGTCAAAATGGATCGATAAATCAGTTACCATGATCAGGCGTGAATGTGAGCATGATTCACTCCACAAATGAACTGTCTAGCCCTCACTAGCCTAGTGAGTACATTCCATGGAGGCGGAGATTCCCTCAAATGACACCTATCCCTTTGAGCTAAATGTATTTGCCTACATATTTCTGGCATTGAAAGGCACACTTGACAAGATACTTAACAATGGTTTAAGAATACACTGAATGAATTAGCCATATTTCACCTGAATAGCGAGATTAAATTTGAACTCTTTCACAAGCTAACACACTGTTTCTCTGTAACTCCCGGATTGATTATAAGATCTTATCCACAATACCAATGGCAACAACCTGTAACCTCCAGCTTCCCGTGTGTTGCTCGTGTTTGTCGCATATTTTACCATTGTTGCATCATTTATCATCCGCGCTGCGTCTTTTCGCAGCCTAATTACACCTTTGAGATCCTTTTAGTTCAATGAGTGGGAAGTGTAATGGTAGGAATAACTTACAGCTATCCGTGACTCTACAAAAAATGGTAGCTTTGTACAGGGTGCTTCAAAGGATGTTCAGTGGGGGTAAGGGCAGTATTCCATCCACCTTTTTCTTGATACTGATCAGCAACTTCCTCCGACTTGAGGAACTGTTACCTTCACAGCCTATTGAGTGACAAATATACAAAACCTCAGCAAGGATATTCACACACTAATGTACTTGGAGTCCATGAACATTGTCTAACCGAGCAGCCAACACAGCGATGAACAAAGTCTGGTGGGTAGGATGGTGCTTGTATGTATAAATGATACAATATATTTTTATATACTCATCTGAACATTCTTTTCTACAATTATACCTTGTCAGTGCTGTTTCCCCATCATTTGCAGCGACGTTCCATGAATTCTCCTGCTCACTAACAAGCTGGAATAGAATTTCCTGATCTCTTTTTCGAACGCCATGCACAACCCGGGTTCATCGTTCATCGCTGGTTGCTTCTAGATGCGGTGACGCTGCTCCATTGGGCAACTTTCTTGGACTCTAAGTACATCAGTGTGTGAATCTGTTTGCTGAGGTTGTGTATATTTCCCACTCAGTAGACTCCATAGACCTTGTACTAGGTAATTTAGAGTTTGGTTGAATAAAATGGATTGATTTTGAAGAGGCCAGCCTAACAAAATTATTTAGTTCAGTGTTTATTGATCTTGCCCGTCAAAGCATGCTTCCGTCCATATCTTAGCGAAATAGGGTTAATCAGTGTATGAACGTACCCCCAACTTATGGGTTTCAAAGTCCTGAATTCGTTTTGCAATTAGACTTATCTGATGTGCTTTCTAATCGTGGCTGTGAGCGCTTTTTGTGGGTTGTTGCCATAGATGCTGCGGCAGGGCAGCTTCTAGTTTTCATTTTTCTCTGACATTCTTGTAGCTATCTCTCATCCTGTATAATTCCTTCATAATAGATTTTTTGTCATCCCAATTTCCCACCCTTTTGATGCCATCCCCTACCCCATCCACACATCCCTTGACAGGTGTTTGATCATAATCAGGACTCCGTAATCGATTTTGGTGAGATAAAACGAACAATGCACTTTCTCGGGGAGGCTGTCACAGACGAAGAGGTGCAAGAAATGATCCGTGAGGCCGATCGGGATCATGATGGCTTGGTCGACTTTGAAGGTAAGCAAACTCATTCCTACATCACTGATATTTTATGAAGACGCTCCTTGGCAGGTGATCGGATTCGAGACCTGAGGGTTCAGTTTCAGCTTGTACAACCACTAACCATGCACTATCGTGCGCCGGTTTTGGTTGCTGTCTTCTGACTACCCATTTGTATGAACATAAGAAGAAAGATAGGAGAGGATCAAAGAGAAAATTTCGAATTTCAGTAGACTAATGTTGCAGAGAAATTGAGAGGGTTCACGAATGTCACAGTTTACGATTCACAGCAATATCACTCAGTGTCTCTATCTATCGGTTACGATCATCCCAAAGTCCCCAGCCAGTGAGGCTATGTGGCCCAGACTCCTGGTTTGGGTTTTCATACCCTCATGTCGGGCCTTTGTTTGACCACCCTCCGGTTTCAGTTTTTACAACCATTACCAGGCACTTTCGTGCGCCAGTTTTGGTTGCTGTCTGTTGATGCCCCATTTGGATAAAGAGCAGAATGAAGATTGGAATGTTGAAAGCAAATTCAAGCGGCAGAAGGACAATTCATATAGAATGGTGTTAGGGAAATAATGAGGGGATGCACGACCGCCACTGCTTACGACAACCAGCCATATCATTCAGTGTAGCTAACCATCGGTGACCATCATCCCGAGGTCCCCAGCCAGGGAGCCTAACGGGGCCTACGTGACCTAGTCTCCTGGTTAGGATTTTCATACCCTCATGCCAGGTCCTAGGTTGACCACCCTTGAACTTATTCTCAATTATCTGCCTCGGTAAACATCGCTTGCCGTGGCAACCTATTTGGTGGCATGCGTAACACATACCCTAACCAACGTAATCCATGGAGATCGATCACTTGCTTCAGTGGATGACTGCGACTACATAAAACTCTACGCCTAACCTCAGCATTGCTCGTCCGTTACCCCGACCAGACTCGTACAATGCGACGTAGACAACGGTGTTCGAAAACCGATAATCTATTTTAACCCTTTTCCCGTAGTGGCCAAATCTCTGCACCGTAGAGTAGTACCGGCCGAAAAACTGCAGCATAATTTTGATCCTTCACTGACAGCCGCCACAGCGCCACAAATGTCTCAAGTTGGCGAATGCTAACCGAGCCTTTTGTATACGCATCGGTAATTTATTTGTGATGCGTCCGCCAGGTGAGATATAGCTGCCCAGATAACAAAATGTGTCTCCTTCCTCTACTACTTCTTCAGTGAGGGAGAGAGTAGGTGCTGGATCAACCCAATCTTGGAGCAACATTTGACACTTTGAAGATGCAAAACGAATGCCGTATATGGCCACACCAGCACTCAAACTATCCAGAAAAGCTAGCAACTTATTTGGATCTTCAATTAGTAGCACAATATCGTCTGCATACTCTAGATCAGACAGTCTGCCACCTGGGAGTAAATCGATAAAGTACACCATGGAAAGGGATGGGGCCTAATTGGAGGGAGGCAAAGAATGTGAAGGCCTATGGTTAACAAACAAAGTATATAATCTTAGTGTGCAGAAATATACCTTTTCAAGCATTCGGACCTGATGAAAAATGACGACCAGAACGCCACTGCCGTCGGTTAGTCGCCATATCAATCAGTGTTTCCAAACAGCGAGTTGCAGAGTATTTTGGACCTCAACCTGAAACTACTACCTACTCGCTCTGTGCATTTTTTCGCGCCCTGTTTTCACGTCTTCTGTTGACCTTCATTCTGTTTCTTCCAACGTGGAACCGCAACTGCGAATAAGGAGCGGTGCGGCAGACGATGACTGGACATGCGCAACACGTGTCCTAACCAGCGAAGCCGACCAATCTGTATTGGATGAGACAACGAATTCTCCATCGAAGCATCACCAAGCACGCGACGCCCTATCTCAGAGTTGCTTAAACACTCGGTCCATCCAACCCGTGCCAAACTGCGTAAACATCGGCAGTCGAAGTGCTCTAGAGGACGAATATCTACCATGAGCAAATTTAGGGTCTCGCAACCATGAGGCAGAACTGACAGCACACTGGCGCAGTATATACGACCTTTCAGTCTCAACGAAACATCGCGTCTGCGTAAGCTCCCTTGGAAATGTGGGCGGCTACTTCAATGACTATGCTACCGTCGTTTGTCCATCAGCCACGTAAGTAGGAGAAAGATTCCACTATAGCCGTTTCTTGACCATCAAGTATCAACGCTGGGGTAGACGACACCCAGTTTCATAGGATAACTTTGCACTTTGAAGGTGTAAAGCGCATGCCAAACAGACCTACAGAACCTCCTAGTCTGTCAAGAGCGCTTTGCGCATCCTCCTCACATTCCAACAGCTAAACGATGTCGTCAGCGTACTCTAAATCGCACAGCTATTCCCCAGACACACATTCAATACCTACGATTTGGAGACCACTGAGTGCGCTCTCCAGTATTCAATCAACGACGAAATTGAACAGGAACGGCGAAAAAGGGCACCCATGACGAACACCGCTCCCGGTTTAGAACGATTTACTTAGCCCACCGGAGACGAATACGCTACAAGAGATATGCAGGTCAAGCGACCATAATAGGTTTACATACTTCCGTGGCATTCCTTCGCGAAGCAGCGACCCCAGAAGAGCTTCACGGTCAACTGAAATGAAGGCTTCTTTTGGGTCAAGAACACCGTGATTGTTGGCCGACGGTGTGTGGCGCAGTTCGAAGACTTGACGCAGAGTGAACAATTGGTCGATGCAACCGCAACCTGGTCGGGATCCGGCTTGCTGCTCTCGGGTGTCAGGCGGCGAAGTGTCACAGAAGTCAACTTTTCTGTGATACTGGAAAA